CTAAAGGGCCCCCCAGTACAAAGCATGAATAAAGTTATCTTCTCTATAGATTTTGTTGGATGTAATCCGCTGGATAAGTATTTAACCGATGAATAGCAGTTTCACGCTTGTGTACTACCATCCCAAGGACATGTTCTAACCSTAGGCATGGGTCAAACGTGCATGCACCGACGACAGTGCCAATATAATCGTAATAATTGAATTGAATTGAATTGCAAATTAACAAATTATTCGAGTAATGCGTATTGAATTGGGTACATGTGAGATACCACGTTTGAGCAGGAGGCCTTCATCGATTTGGTTTCTCGAGACTAAAACTGGATAGCGCGAAACCCATAAGGACTCCCCGCCCCCCGACTCCAACACTCTATTCCCAGAAAAATCAAAGTCMRACTATCTACATATAAAAAAGCTTTTTTACATCGTACCGTCCATTGCATGGTGCATAGTAAGCGGTGCAGGCGTTCCTTGTTCTAATCTTACTGTACCCAAACAGCACAAACAAGAAAACATATCAGTTTTACACAATCATCCCATAGACAACATCAAATAATTAGTTAGCAACAGATAATACGAAACAAAGATTTTCTGATAATACAAGAGGGATTTTAAGAAAAATGTGATAAAAAACAACCAAAACACTTAAAAGAAACAAGGAAAACACTCGGCTGTAGATCATTTCGCACGCTATACAACCAAACGAAGCAATACAGATCATTACCTCAATGTTGCGACTAAATATATATGATAAAAAAATCAAATTATTATTATTTTCCTCGAGAACGTGAAGTGCGTGCGCACACGCTTTCCCGACGGTTGTTGATTGATGATCTTATGTTTGCTTTGCAGGTGGCCGCGCATGTAACAGGTGGCCTGGGAGAAAGTTTGGGAGGTGTTTGCTTGGCAAGCCGCTMACACAGCAAACTAGAAAAACCTCGGGAACTTTGCAGCAAATCTTTTCATCCAAATAAGCTGCAAAGATGGTTCAGTTGGGAGGAATTAAGCTACAGGCTCCTATCGACCTACCGATAAACATGCCTTTTGATACGTCAAAAATACCAGATCTTGATCAGATAAAAGAGACTTTGAAAGATCCGAAAAAGTTGTTTGTAAAGAATCTTGTAAAGCTTGGTTGGACTAAAACTCAATGCTTACGCCTGCGCCAGAGTTATGGTAAGTCAAAAACTGCTAAAAGTCGAAAGAAAAGAATGCTTAGGGTGTCTTTTTTTCGACATTTTTTTTAAATTGTTTGTGGTGTGTGCTAGAGTGTTTTTGTGCATATTGTTTAGTAATTTCTTGTAAGCAACTATACACGTAATGCACTTCAAAATCTGATAAACAAGTGATACGCGCTWTTCTTATGTATTTGAATTACGTTTGAAGGCTGACGGTATAATGAAAGAAATCTGCAGAAAAACAACTGGAAGGTTGATGACTGAACATATCGCGCAAAATACTACGCGGGCRAAACGTCTACAACAGAAACCAAATTTGTTAAGGAAAAAATTTCAAATTTAGAACAAACTTTTCCTATATCAGAGAATCATTGTAACTAGTAGGTTGCAGAATTTAACCATTAATTCTATATATTTACATCTACAGGAGATTTAAGGAACATCCTCAATAATTTGCATAAACGAATAAGAGTTTTGCGCGTGGCGGGAAAAATTTGGCGCGGCCGTGAATGGTGTGTTCATTTACTACTCGATCGACCACAAAATGATAGCGCAAAGTTTCGTGAAATTAGATTTAGCAATTTATTTTATACAACAATATTAAACATGAAAAATCGAGAAAAATAACTTAATATAATTAGTATATCGATGATAATGATTGGTGCTATTTTTTTGTGAATAAAATAACATTTTTGCTTCAGTTTGTTCTAGGTCTTGTCTCCAATGTGTACGTATTTGCTTATCACGTATTCCTATCATCTCATTGGCTGCTACATTATTCTTAATCATTGGCTACACGGGCTTCAGTGTGGGACTATATGAAGCTGTATTTCATCTAAACAAATGGCTTAAAATGGACGTCATGTGAGTACACTGAGCATGCGCATTGAATGACACTATGTTTTCACTCTCTTTACGAAATSCGATCGATTGAAATAATGACTTTCATCAACAAATCTCATGAACGACCTCGAATATAAAGTGGGGAGATTTTGTGTAATTAAAGTATTTTTTGTTGTGATTAGTACCAATACCAGGAAGTACATCATGTACCTTGGAATATTTCTTGGTTCGTTGTCTGGTCTTGCTTTACTTCATGGATTTGCAGCAACTGGAAGAACAAGGTACACCTTTTACTCGGGATGGAAATCCAAATGCTGTGGTCGTTGCTGTATTCTCTCGGTAAGTTTTAATAATGGACGGTCGGTAGAAGATGCTTTTTTGAAACTCATATTTTTATGGAGATAACTGGTGAGTGGATGCATGAATGAATGAGACAGTGGGTTATGCAGTGGGTGTGTGAAAGACAACTCAACATCAAAAACCTTATTTCCTCATTCCACAGTTACAGCTTTATTGTTGACTGAGTTACGAAGAAAGGAGCATTTCATGCGGCGCTACTTTGTACACTTGTTACAAGACAGAATCGCAGTTCAAAAGAATGAAACATAAACCGAGTACATTTTTTTAGGCTATCATTTAACTAAGAAATGAAGGACAAGACTTCGCAGTATCATCAGTTTTATCATAAAATCATCATCAGTATACATTTTGAGACAAATGTCCACCCCTTCTATCAGGAACTTACTATGTGGTCCAATGCTCGTCTTTTGGTCAATAGAAAATGATTAAACTCTCTGACAAATTCATATTTCAGCTATTTTTCGGTCACTCACTGATATGGTTAATATGGACAATCATCGGTCCAGTCCTACTCTTCCCACTAATCTTCATGGGGATTGGGTTCGCCGTTTGCCAAGTGAAACTCGTCAAGCAACTTGGCAAGACGTGTATCGAGTTCGAGGAATACGGTAAGAATACATTATCATCATCATCGTTATCATCATCATCATCATCATGCATGGCGTGAAATTAAAACTTTACTGTGGATGTCTATAATCTACATTGTGATTATGGTATATGTACTACAAGCAATATATATTGAGAAACCTTGAAATTTTAATTGGGCTGCGATATACAAAAATGTAAATTAAAGTCGCTCTTAGTAGAGCGCATGTGGTTACTCCAAAACTCGACGAGGCGTATCCCATGAGGCATTGCGCCTTTCCGCTGCGATATCGATCGTGAAATGATATCGAACCGATTTCGGAAAAGAGTCGCGTGTTACATATTTCTTGCTTGCTTACATCACGATGACATAGTGGATTACTCCAAAAGGGAGTACCACAAAAAGTAAAAATTAGAAAGTAATATTAACCAGTTATGGACTTTTTTACATCTTCTTTGTAATATTGAAGCTAGTTTGATTCATATGTAGGCGTTGCTGACCTAGTTAACGTAGATAAAGTGTGTGGATATGAACTAGCAGAATTCTGTTCTGGTATAAGCCCTGCAACGCCGTATTTTGCTGTGACATTCGTTGGAGCTATATTTATCATTATTGGTGTGGTAAGTACATTAGTAAACCTGCCAGAGATTAGTACTTCACGCCCGAATTACAAACTAATACCGAATTACTAACTAATACCGAATTACTAACTAATACCGAATTACTAACTAATACCGAATTACTAACTAATACCACTGGAAAAATCGCGTACTTCAAGGGTTTCAACTTTGATGTAAATATGATGTAAGTCGTGTCCAAATTGATGTAAATGATTTACATCATATTTACATCAAATTTACAACCTTTAAAGTGCCCGATTTTTTGCAGTGTACCTGAGAAAGAATAAAATCTAGAAATTTARAAAGAAATTCTCAATCTTTTTGTATTTCACATGACGGCGCAAAACAGCTTTTGAAACATTATTAAAACACKTTTTATTTATTTTCTTGTACAGTTCATCATGCTAGTCGCTTTAATCGTAAACTTACTTCAAGTACACAAGCATCAAAAAGAAAACCTGCCATCAGAATGGTCAACATGTAAAGCATGTTGTCGTGTCGAAGACCCAGAGAAGTACGACGACTGTTGGCCGGAGCCACCTGTCGAAGAGGTTCAAGTATCAATGAGAGAGAAACTCAGGCTCAATCAGAAGACACAAGAAGAAGACGAACCGAACCCACACGGACAACAAGAATGGTCGTATATTTATGATTTTGAGAAAGAAACAGCGTATGTTGGTAAAAAATACTAGAAGGCTTCCACGCAGACCAAATTTGGTTCGCACTTTAATAATACGCATGCGTAGTTAAGACCAGGTGTTTGTTTTACTCCATAAGAGAGAACATTTGTCAAAGATGTATTGAAATGGAAGGGTCAGTCCCTCAATGGTCAGACCCTCAATGGTCATCCCCTCAAATCGTTGGTGAATGATTTAACTTTCCGTGTATTTTCTGTGCGAAAAATTCGAGAAAAACGTTCAAAAGTCTATGCATGCATTTTAGTCATAAACAAACTTGCTACACCAACAATGATCAAAGATACGGACTAGGCATTTGGAGATGAAAACATTTGTTTGCGCAGTACACTTGGCGCAACATAACAACCTTGAGTCTAATATTTTCTCTTAGCTTTGAGAATCTTTGTTTTGTTTTGAAGAAGATCTGTTACGGGCTGTTTTCAATTAAAAATATATCATTATTTCTCGGAACAAAATCTGCAAAAGAAATAAGCAAAAACAGCACAAGATGGAAATGGAATAATCCTGATAAACAATAAATTCTACAAGATGTCCTTCTCCCGTGTCAGAGAAAAAAATCTCGCAAAGGTTCTCGGATCCACGTAGACCTTTAAGGTGACAAAAGTTTTACAATGAGGTCTACTTGCTTTTAGTAATTTTCTAAAGTAAACGCCACATTTATATAAAGATTTCAATCAGCTCGATTATTATCGTTCTTTCTACTCCAAAACGCTGTAAATACGTGAAATAGCCCTTTATTAGTCGAAACAAAATTGAAATTATTTTAAAATTACATCAGAAATTATAAAATGCATTTTTTTAATTTAAATAAAGCATTGATATTCCATATCCTTTCTTATTTGTTGAAAGGTTGACCAACTGATTTCAAATTCCACATTGTACTCACAGGATGCACAAACGCCACAAGATCACAACAGTATTTTGCATTATACAAATTCGTCATAGTCAGCTGTTTTCATTTTTGTCGATTCCATTCCCACTCGGTTCTTGGCCATCAGTGGTCGCATCGCGGTCAAAAGACTGCTGTAGATCTCAGGAAAGAGCAATTCTTGCGCCGCTAGTAACTGCTTTGTGCGATGTCTTTCCTGAGGATTATAGAAGCAATTGAAATGAATTTTCGTTTTAGCGTTTGAAAGAATTGTTGGATTTAGTTATGACTGTGGACGACCGGGGACCGCGCTGAGGGAAGAAGTGGGATTGAGGGGGAGGGGTGGTGTGCAGTACTGGGCGGGTGTAAAAGAAAGCGTTGGTTGGCAACTTGCTTTAGGATGTAAGTGGGATATAATGTAGGTATGTGAGATGATGTAGGTGTAAGATGATTTCGATGTCGAAATTTTAACAGTCTTTCTCAAGACTTCTCACACCCGGACGATCATAAAACACCTACATCAATTACAGCTTAGTTCTGACCATTTACTCTCAAACATGCTTTACCTTGGGCGCTTCGAAGCATGCTGGACAGTTCTCCGCAATGACGGGAAGTTTCGCCTGTAAATAAAAGTTCTACATCACTATAAARTATAGGTTCTGCTTTGTTGCGTCAAATGCTACTAACCTTRTCGGCGAATTGTCTGAGTTCCTTTTCTCGTACAAATACCAAGGGTCTTATAACTCTCAGATCTCCTTCCCTGGAGGTAGAAACAATCAACTAATAAATATTGTGCATATCACATTTCTCATTTGACAATAAATCTGGTTGAGGTAATGGTAAGGATTAAAAAAAAAACTGCGAACAGAGCGTACTGTTATCATATAGGATTGACTATGTGGAAGAATAGTCTCTTTTGCAGACGATCTTAAGGTCTGACCGACGCCAACATTGTCTACAAGAGGAAGATGGGATAAGACTTGATAACATAGAATTCATAGATGTAGAATAGCCCAATTTTGTGTTCTGCTTTGTTCTGCTTCAAACCGTGCAATATCATCCTATATCCTAATAAAAATACCTTTAGAAATGTCTCACTTTAGAAATAAGTAATACTTACTGCACTGTGTAGTTCGCCTTCATCGTTCGCAGCAGACCATTGTGAAATGCTGACATGAGAAAACTGAAAATAACAAAAATAATGTTGATCGCCAAAGACGACAAAAGATATAATACAAAGAAGAAAATCACCTTTCCGTCAAATCATCCAAGTGTTGACCCATGGCAAGCACATTGTAGCCTTCACGCCTCGCGCATGCGTACAGACGACCTCGCTTCATTCGCGAACAAAAGCTACAAATAGACTCACAGGCGGGAAGCTGGGCTGCCTGTTGGATGATTCCTACAGTAATGTAACAAAATATTGAATACTGTTATAAATCTTCAACTATTTGAAATGAAGTAAAACATGGTCATTCTGTTACGTGATTAACAATCTAATGAACTGGTGGTACTAGTGGCAGATATGGTGGTGTTGAGATTCATTCAGATTTTACTCCTTAAAGAAACGCTCCGATTTGACAACCATAGAATGTGATGAAGAAAGCATTAAACTATGCCCAAATACTAGAACACCATCCAGCGTCCAAACATTGTTGTTTTATCAAACACATTCTTGGAAACTTCGCACATTAGACTCTTAGATGGACTTCAAACAAAGTGACTCAAAGAGAAAATTTGGGGGTAGTCTCCWRGTCTCCTCTCGTAGCCTTTACGAGCCTCTTAACGGCTGCGRGAGGAGACTAAATTTTGGGTCGCTCAACAATTTGGTTAAAAAAAATAAAACAAAAAGAACACTAAAAGTATCAAAATCACCTTGTTCCTCGAAGAAATACGGGACACCAAGGGCTGCTAGATATGGAATAAGAGGTCTTGGATCATATGCGGTGGATTGGGGATCTACTGTCGCAGCACCAATCTCAAATGCAATGCCCTGCAACAAAAAGACAGGTTGTCACAAGTTATCACGATGAGAAGCTAGCATACCTGCAGCTTACCTTAGATTTTGCTTGATATTTATATTGTTGGAGAGCGTGCAGCAGTGAAAGAGAATCTTTACCACCTGACAAGCAAACCATCACATGATCGCCATCCTTTATCATTGAGAATTCTTCAATAGCCTACAGTGAGTATCAATTAAATATGACAGAACTTCTATTAAGCATCAAGCTCCATGAAGTGACCACTCATTAAGTAGTCATCAACCTCTATTAGGCAGCCACAGTAAAAAGTCCCAATGAAACGGTCACATGGTACTAAATCCGCCATACTCATTGGATGGTAAAATACCCACTGGGATTTTCAAAACAAAGAAAAGTCAAGTTTGAGAGGCTGTGTTCCTTTTGTTTTTGAGGTTGTTTACATTCTTTTGCCATCCAGTATGGTGGATTTAGTACCATGTGACCGTTTCATGCAAAAGGCCAATTTTCTCTTTGTCCTGGGCTGGGTTGTTCAATTAGTGTTAATCCAGAGCTGCTTTTTTAAGAGTTAATTGAGGATTAGCACTAATTTTAGCTTTGAAAGTCATGAGGATTACAATGTGCCTACCTCTACCATTGGTTTGAAGATACTCTTTGAAGGATGAACAAACTTGGGTTTTGTACTTTCTTTCAGTGTTTTTTCAAGTTTTGAATCATGTTTGCTTTGTTTTGTTTTCTTATTACAAGTCATCGGTTTGTTTAAAGGACAAGATTGCCCTAAATCTCCACAGTTCATCCTGGCTGAAGCATTGTCAATATCACTTGACTGTTGATTAAATTCTTTGCTATTTTCTTTTGATAATCCAGTGTCTGTATTCTGCTTATTTTGTAAACATAACATGCTGTTATTCCCTGTATTTTCACTTAAATGTGAGCTGACAATGTTAGACTTCATATCATCAGAACATTGGTTTGAATAATTATTCTTTTCTAAAGTTTCAGAAGTAACTTGTTGAGCTGTATTTCTTTTTTCCATTCTTGCATTCTTGCATTTTTCCATTTCTACATTGTGATCATTGGTTACTGGCTCCCATGAGCGTGGTGTAAAAGGAGGAGTTTTAGGGAGGTGGGAAGGAGGTTTGTGCTGTAGTATGGTAGCAGCTTCACTTGGAAGTAAAAACCACCGTAACTTTTCACCTTCTTTGCTAAGGAGCAGGGTGTGGTCACTAAGAGTTGTAGCTGACTGTGAAATTGATAATAAATTTATCTAGCATATACAACAAATACAAAATTGGAAAAAATATCAACCAAAACAGTTAATTAATTAATAAATTAAATAATAAATAAATAAATAAATAAATAAACCAACAGAATTAACAGATATTGACAATTCTTACCTTCTCAGCATTTTCAAAAATCTGTTTTGCAGTGAGCAGGCAGTCCTAACAATAAAATTAACTTTATTTCTATAATAACAGATTTTGTTAACAGGAATCATGTTCTGATCTACCTGTGGATCTTTAGGGAGTCCTTCTGTTTTGGTAGGGGCTGGGTAGGTCATGTGACCATCCAAGTAACTGATTGAACCAAGCCATTTACGATCACGAAAAACCTGACAATCAAAAACAACTACATGTTGTGGCTTATATACCAAGTACTTCTTTTAACAAACATATTTAAATACTACCACAGCATAATGTCCGAAATGTCATTAAACTAATTTTATTATTTTAAGGTGTATAATATATAGCCAAATTTAGAGGTTTTTGCTTGGTGACTATGCACAAAAGAATTGGAGACGAGGCATTGGGGAAACAAAAAAATAACATGGTTACTCAACCAAAATCTAAAGCTGACTATTCATCCTTTAATTACAACTGTTTAGTAACTTGTATTTTCATGGTTAGAGATAAAATGTACATGTAGGATACTGTAAACATACACTGGTAGAGAGAAAAAAGTGATTCAAGGAACTCAAACTACAGGCAAAGAATCTGAGTCTACATTGTCCAATGCTAATATGAAAATGCAGTACTAATAGCCCATTTATATACCTTATGACGTCGATGCTTCCATTCCCCAGTTTCAGGATTAAACATATACTAAACGGAATCAAATAATCAGAAAATTAACAGATAATGTACATTGCCTGTATATAACAATTGACCAAAGGACAAAAATTTAAGATGTTTTTACTTGAGGGAGTAGCTTCCAACCATGATCTGCTACCATAGCAACAGCTTTCAGTATAAACTGTATATGCTCATCTGATATGAAGTATGGTAGATTAAGACGAACAAAACCAGGTCTGAGGAGGTAAAAATAATAATGACTTGATTTTGTGCAACTCATTACATGTAAAATACAACTAGGTAAACATCTTTTTAAATGATTAATTTAGAAGAAATTTTAATTATTGCAATTTGATTTTTTATTTTTCGTTTAAATAGAGTACAAAAGTTTTTTTTTGTTGAGAAACACAGATTTTATACAAGTTCAGTCCAAAGTCTGTGTACATTTCTTAGGCCTTTTTTTACGTAGAGTCAAACTGTTTTGTTTTAAATCATTCAGAGAAAAGAAAGGAAAAGAGTTTGTCTCTACTACATACAATTGACCTACCTCATGTAAACAGGACTTTAATGTACGGTGTTGAAGTATTTACCTTATTGCCTCGTGCTCTGAGTACTCATTGTAACGTCGAAGATGGACACGATCAAGACGGCTGAATATATATAAGATATGACACGATCAAGACGGCTGAATATTTATAAGATATCAAGGTACATGAATTAGAAAGGCAAGGATAACATTATAATAATTGTGATAACCGTGGATAATTGAAAAATCACTAAAACTGAATAAAACAATCGAATCAAAAAATCATTTGATCAAAAATAATAATCTTTATTAAGAAACCCTGATAATCAGGCAACTTTGTTAAATATTAAAATCCTTATTAATACCTATCTTCTAGAAGTAAAGCTTCAAATTCCTTTGCAAGTGCTTCATCCATTCCTAGCAAATCCTGTTATTCATAAAATACACAGATAAGCAAACATAATTGGAATATTATAGTAAAATTATTATCTAAAACAATATGCTATTCTACATTGATCATTATCAGCAAACAACTGCTGCCAGCATACCTGTGCATATGGTCCAGCGCAAGCACATCCACCACGCGACTGAATGCCAAATAAATCATTTAGCAAGGCACTGACGTAATTATAATGAAGATATAATCCACTAAATGGATGACGAATTAAAAATGAGAAGATTGGTAGCCGCTGAGATGTCTTGTTACCCAACAGAACAAGATTTGGTGAATTACGCCAGGTGGAGAAGGCCATTCTAGAAAAGATGTTTATAATAACACAATCATTCAAATAATACTGTATCACATGTATGCACCTTGACTAAAAACATTCAATATAGCTTGACACTGATTATTAGCTCTTGTCATTCATGTTGTACTGACTCTTTACTCCAAATCTTATTTTGTTTCCTTTTATCAGTAAACATTACTTAAGCTCTGGATATTTTTTATGTGCTTCTTTTGTGTATTTTTTGGTTGTAGTAATGTTTTCAATCCAATTTTAACAGTTATTTCAAACCGACCTGCACAGCTTTTCCTCCTGCTCCATTATGTTTTTGTATCCTACAGCCTTGAAATCAGAAAATGTGATTAAAAAAATTAATGAAATAAGAAGTGAAATGGGATGAAAACAATGAAAAATGTAAAAATTAGTAAAAGAAATGATAAATACCTCTTTTAGTTGAAAGACAAGACCAGCTCTGATGGACTCAACAATGGCAGGAGTACCACCTTCTTCTCTAGTTTCAGTTTCTTTGAGATATCGATGAGTATTCTCTGTCACCTGCAAAGTATATTTTACAAATTTGCAGCACAAGTATTTTATCAAGAATTGAGTAATGTTGGAGTTTCACATATCATAAGCTGAGTCACTTACAAAAAATACACTCCCACCACCACATCCTGAAGGAACAGGGTTTTGAAACAGCTTYTTTTTAGCAATAAGAACTCCTAAAAATAACCACAGCATTTACTACAAATGATTAGTCGATAACAATATCACCGTTTAGATTTGATTACCTGGTGTTCCTATGCCACCAACAAACTTGTGAGGTGATAGAAATATGGCGTCTTTATGGACAAGTGATTGATCTTCACTAAGATATAAAAAATAACACAAATTCATAGCATGTCAATCAAGACATCATACTATACAAATAAATTGGGAAAATAGTGAGCAGGATGGGGATGCAAAACAATAAAATAATAACAAACATTTCTCACTTTAAAAAGCCTCCTTTAAAGTTTAATAATCACAATAGCTTAATATTAGTAAATGATTATTTCAATTTATGAATTATGAAATTGCATAACACTGTTCAAACTTGAAAGCGGGATGTTGTGCATATTATTTTGGAAAAAAAATGAAAGACTTAAACATGCTACAGCTTTTTATGTAACTCAGATTCATGATAGCAATACCTTGTAACAACAGGATTCATATTGATCTCTACATAAGGACCTGAAATAGTAGATAATTCAAACCATTTTGTATAACATTTGTATATTTCTCACACTTTGATTGATCAAAAACTGCATAAAAAAAGCACACATCAAAGATACCATTTAATCTTACAGGTGCTCTGATTGGTCAGGACAAGACCAAAAAAAATTAGAGGAGAATATTATATTTATAAATTCAATTTGTCTGTGTGCTATACGAGGAAGACGTCAAAATGATGAGAACAACAACTGTTACAACACACTTTTTTTGTTCTAAGATACAATTTGATATCAACTGTGTCTCTATCAAACTACTCATCTGTGTCTCTATCAAACTACAGACTTATTGAAAATGGAATCTATTTGTTCATTGGTACATAGTAAATACTGCAAACTTAGTAATAATCATCATATATGATCTAACATATCATTATCTATTTAATATCCACAAATTTCAATTTTTCTTTAATTTTTAGCTAAACCTATGAACTAACCAGCTGTAGCATAGTCCCAGCATGCAAGTGCTCCATGCCGATGCAATAATGCAGTAAGTTGATTTGTGTCTGTCAAAATTCCTGTAACATTTGACGCTGCAGCGAAACAGCCAATCAATGTTCTACTGGCATTGTTGTTCATCTGTTAAAAATCAAGAAAACACTGTGCATTGGACAAAGAAATGGTCACCTAAATGACCTTGAGAGAAAACTTATGATTGTGAAACCAGTATACAAACCTTTAGTTTTTGTTCTAAGTCCAAGAGGTCCACTAACCCATCACTCRTTTGCTTTGTCCATATGACTGTAGCACCAGCTTCTTTCCATGGTAAAATACTAGAATGATGTGCAAAAGGCCCCAAGAAAACAATCTACAAATTAGAGATATCAAATGTTAATTAACTGTATATTACAGCATTATGAAGAGTGAATACAATGGCTATTTCAGTTATAGTTTGGTCCTCTTAACATATATAATATGTACCTAATGGCACACTCTCACCCATTCTTCATACAGTCCATCCATTTCCTTGTGTAATTGTGTTTTAATGTGGTTGATGGACGATGACAAACTTATTTATCCCAAGTATAATTATATTAAGTAATGTTCTACTTTATACCATTAAATAAAACGTACCGGAGGCTCTGTTAAATTAAGAACATGAATAAACTTGTGCACTGCTCCAGTACATCCGCTTCCTGTAAAGATGATAGCATCACCCTCACCAGCATTAACTGCATTTCGGATGATATCTCTGTAAAAATCACCAAAACAGGCCATGGCCATGGTTATCACTAGCAACTAATGGAAGGCTTCAGACTTTCACTACAAGTATGTGGAAAATTGTTAGAGTAGAGGAGATCTTCAATAAAATGACGAATTATCTACAGTATTGTTAAAAGGCAATTTGTCACTGCTGTCATTAAAGGTGCATTTATATTATTCTCAAGCAGTAAAACTAGTACCTTGCTTCATGTCTATAAAGTGTTGTTTGTAATGCTGTCACTGTTGTTGTTGTATGTGTGTTGCCATAATGAGGTAAAACCTGTTCTTGGATGTAGTCCTCAATGAAAGATAAAGATCTAAAAAGAGGAAACAACAATAGAATATATGAAAATTAAAATGCTATCACTTGAAGTACTTTATTTCATACATAGTATTCCCTTTAAATGCTTTGATCAACAGACTCCAAACTCCAATAACTATTTCTAGTTATTCCTTAAAAAGCACAAGAAACATATCAAATTTAAGCTTAAGCTTAAGCACATTCCTTTATAAAAACTAATTATGTCAATATATCCTTTTATACCTTCCAGATGCAGTATAGTCACAGTAAACAACTGTCGAATATAAAACAATGGTTATGCTTAATAATAAATCTAAATAAACCACGACGATTTTGATATATTAAAACGTGATTTAACTTAAGCTTATAGTCTTACCTTTTCTCGGCCCGTAAGGACCTAAAAATGTCGTATCTTTCCCTATACAATGATCATCTATATACTCAAATAATTCTTTAGCATTGTTCTTCTCAATAAAATGATTGTTGCCCTTTTTGTTCGATAAATAATCAGTGGGAACTTCGTAAAACTTTCTAGATCCATGTTTCAACGCCGCCATGTTGTTTTTTAGTAATGCTGAGTAGCCTAGCCTAACACAGCCATCCCAAGTCTGCAAAGCTTCCTGCCTTTTGAGAACCTTAAAAATCACAAAAAAATATCGAGAATCTTGTAGTGGAATTGCGGAGAGAATGTTTTAAAGAATTACAATGGATTACAATGAATAGGATAGTTTTGACAAGAAAAAAAAGTAATAGGAATTTTCTTTCTGCTAAATAAATGAAATAATTAAAATGTAAACACATGTGGATTTGATCCTGTTATCTCTAGATGAAAAGATTAGCGCCTTAACGAGATKCGCCAATGGACCACGATCATTTACATAATAATAGACCACTTGACACTTTTACCGAATAGACTACCCCAATTTGACATTATACTTTCGATAGTTGCCTAGTTAGTGCAAGGGGTTATCCGTCAGTGTCTAGGGGCCGGATAGCTTCTCCCTCACTGGCTTTTTAGTTAGCGCGAAGTTAGGACCAATTATCGGGATAGCATGGAAGAGCCGAAATCTCTAACCGGAATGTAAATCGATTCGACGCCTCAGCTTCACAGAATGTCTCGGGGGAATCGTCCCAATATCTTTTTCGATTTTTTTGGTCATGGGTTCGAGTCCTAGCATGGTCGTATTCTTCTTTTTTCGCATTTTCTAACTTTATTCTTTTTGTTTATCTTCTTTTCACGAATACTTCAAAGCAGTATTTCGTCGATGTATTTAATTGTTTTGTTCATTCAGTGTCTGCAAAGTTTTTTTTTTATATATATTTAACGGTTTTCAGCGTCGCATCAGCAACACAGGCAGCGGTCCTAAAGACAGACTGTCACGAGACAATGAAGATTTTACAGATTGATCGGCTTTCCTTATTTGGAAGATTGCTTGATGAAGCGTCGCTGTGCCATTCTCAGTTTCAGTATGACGCATAAGTGGGCTTGGACCGGGCGGAAAAGCTACCTTGCTCGTTTTAAGCTCATTTGACATCTGATTTTTTAACTATTTCACTGACTAACGAAAGTAACGAATCCAGTCAATGCCACTAGAAAATAAAGGAATTTGCACAAGTATTTTTAATTCATATTAATACCCTTTTAAAACTTCACGAGAAATTTAAGCAAATTCCTCGCGACGTTTTATGCGACACATACGTGACCTCACGCCCAACCCGATCAGACATGCTGCGAAGTCACTTCCTTGAGGAAAAAGTGAAATGAGTATGGGTTGATAATGACGTCACCTTATTTACCATTTTATTTGTTCATCATTACATTGTCTATGAATGTAGTTGAATAACCAACAGGAACAAGAAGATTCATTTATACTGACCGATTCTTGATATCATTATGGTTTTCACGCTCAGGATTCAACGACGTTTGTCAAATGATTTTAGGAAACATGCGGTCTGGCTTATTCTATTGGCAAACATTATATATTCAGGTAACTATTTAATGACATTAGAGTGAAGACATTGAATACATAAAACAAAACGTAATGATTTCATCTCTATCTGTATTAGTTGACTAAATCGGGATATTCAGTATTTCAAATTTACGATATATAACAAATTCTTAAAATAGTACATTGATGTACGTATGAAAAGTTCTCTTCRCCATCCAAACTCGTTTCAGTAGTTCATATTGTAACGATCAAAAACAAGACTCGTACTTGTTCGTATAAGCCGCTTGAAGTAACTTAATTTCTGAACGACGGCAGAAACACATGTGAACCTATTAAATTACGATAGAGAAGCAAAGTCATTTTTAAGAGGTCATCGGACATCTCAAAAATATATATGCGCGTAGTTCTGTATGCCGATAAATGCTTGGATAGCTGCTGTTGCAGCGTTGTAGCGCGGAGGCTTTCCGTCTGGTCGATCGGTGTGCATGCTGGGAAACCACAAAATATCTTCAGTTTATAGATACATTCTGTACATTGCTTTTTACATTTTTTTGAGATGTCTCTCAGTATTGTTGCTCAGTTTCAGGTAAATGCTCGTGTTATTCATATCACCCAGAAAAGAGCTCATTGTCTGGAAGCCGTTCAGTGTGTCAGAAGGAGAATGGTGATTTAGTTTCACTTGAAACACTTGGTGAATGGGAATTTATTAAAGACGAAATTCAAAATAAATCAACTACTGAAGACATTCCCAATGAATGGTGGATTGGACTGAAGTATGATAATACTGGAAAACAATGGAAATGGCTGAGTAATATTACTCTGACTTATAATAGCACATGGCAGCCGAACAAACCCGAGGGCGAAAGCAAAAGAACTTGTGCTCTTATTGCAAAGGATTTCCCTGTAGGTCGTCAGAAAGGTTCGTTTACCAATGTTAAAGAATCGACAGTAAATAGGGGATTCATATGTGAATATACAGAAGTTACAGATGGGAAAAGTGGTAAGATTGCTTTGACTTTATGTGAGATTGATTGTTAAAGTGATATTACATTATTATTTTGAATGCAAATACCTAGTGGAGAGCTGGCGTTCAATATAAGTAGCTAAATAGTGTTGGATTTGGCAATAGAGACAAGGTAACTAGCGTACAAGATGTAAGATGAATAATATTCTAGCGTTAATTCAGCACTTAGTTGGAACTATTTTTGTCTTACGGAGAATTACCTTTTTGCTATAACATTGTGCGCGCAATGGTTTATGACAACGATAAAAATGCAGAAACAGAGGAAGTTGGTCTAAAGATGTGACCGCTACAGCTTCTTTTACATTTGGGGGCCTATAGAGCTATAGTTCTTAGCCTTCGTCCTCCTAGCTAGATTCTATGTATAATGCCATGATCTAGATCTTCCACTTCCAACTGGTATCTTATATTGGTAAATATCGTGTGTTGTCTAGATCCAAGATCTCCCCTCACCTCCATGTATGGCAACTTACTACTGATTAACATTTCTCTCTACAGTTTGCATTGGTAATAAACAATGGTGTTCACCAACAAGGTCTACCCTTCGTCCTATGACGCAAATTCCCTCAGTCAAAACCTCTATAACCCGACAGCCAAGTAGCATTACCTCAACAAAAACAGCCAGTAATATGAATCCAGGTAATATTAAGATATGATGACAAGTTTCTATGTGATATTTCGCTGTCTTTGATCACGGTATAGGTGTTTGTACATTTATATTTATCCTGTAGCACTATTCGTTTGCACAATTTAAGAATTAGTGTTTCACGCTTTTAGCGATATTAGTTGAAATATAAGTTAATGTGGTGGAATGGGGGGTCACGAGTCCCGGGGGGGGGGGGTCAAAGGGCGGGGGTCCTCGGCGGAGATTGTATAAATGACCCCTAAAAGGGACCTCTAATGTGAGATGATGGGCGTGGCAGTGCTGAAATTTCAACCCTAAAAGGGACCAATCAATAACAGGTCATTTTGTTTTGGTTTACCGATTTTATTTGTGTTTTTACACAGTCATCGAACACCGTCGGCTCGTATTGAGTTCATGACGACGTTGCCATTTTATGACTGCTTAGGGTCGCCGTATACCCTAAAAGGGACCACAAAACACAGTTGGTAGGAATTCTTGTCATGATCACCCTAAGCGGGACCAAAATACTGATKTCAAACCCTAAAAGGGACGCCGAGGACCCCCGCCCTTTGATATTAGGGAGTCCCCCCCGGGTCACGAGTATCATGATCGCATGTTATATGTTCTTATGTCTTCGTCGTAGTGAGCGATACTCTTGAAATTTGCTCTTGAATTTATTCAAATATCATTATCGATAACGTCTGGTAAAAAGTCACGAAATACGACATGTCCGGGATGCAAACTATCAAAGACATTCCATGAATTTGGACCCATGAATAAGTTTTGCCAAGGGCCGGAGCCCGAGTCGGACGAGGATTTGGCAATCAACGCTAGTGCTAACAACACTGAGATCCTAAAAGCTCTTCGTGTCTTATCTACTGAAAGTGACTGTATATTGCATTTTCAAATTTAAATAGTTGTCGCTAAGATATAATTTTCTCTACGTTTTTCGTTTTAGCTTCGCCATCATCGCAGCACAGTGAAGCCACATCGCCGTTCCCAGTATATATAATCATTATTATCTTGCTGATTTTACTTGTGGTTGCGTTTGCATTAGCTGTCTTTATTTACAGACTGAAAAAAAAGAGAGGTAATTACATCATCACCTCGGCTCAACCAAACGTTAACCAATATACACTTGAATTGTTACCTCAAATTCCATAACGTAACCGGAAAAAATAGGGAAGGGGGGGGGGAAGGTATAGCTGATGAGGGCTAGCTTGTAAGTATCTAAGTAGACTCACCGACGTTTGAAGCGTAAATCAAATCCTATCCCGCCATCTGGTTTTACTCACCACTTATGCTGTGCGCATTAGTAGTTAAGTTTGAAATGTTTATTGAGAACGACCGTGCAAATTAATACCCAACGTAACTAGACAAAATAGTCAAGGAAAGTTAAAGCTGGTGAGAGCTATCTTGTATCTCGACTGACGTTTGACACTTTTAATAACAGTAATAAAGCATAAATTGAATCTTCTAGCTGATATATTAGTTAAACTTTGTTTTTCTTTATTGCAGAACTAAAGCCAAGAAACAGCCAGTAAGTATCGCGAGTACCGAGTCTTCTTGGCGCTACAGGTGAACAATATTAATTAATCCAGTGTTGTATCTCTCCCCAGTCTCAGCAAAGGATCTCGTGTGCCAGTTAAGCTAGACCACAACTCTTCTTCTGACAATCTYAACGATAAAATCATTTACGCTGATGTGGTTAATATGGATGGACAAAAAATCCAAATAAACAGTCAAACACTGGATGTCCCTGCACCAAATACGAATGCAAATAAAGTTAGCCCTTACTCTAGCAATGGTGTTATATACAGTAACCTAAWYAATGAAAAGAAAACAAGCTACGGARAAAAGAATGAAAAGAATATGCTAACGACGTGCATGTATGCYAACTTTGATCAGTCCAAGACTTGTGAATTGTACGAGGAGGAGCAAGATAGCCAGGTCAGTATCCACATTCAAAAGGCCTCATTTCTCGATTTCTACATGATATCTCAAAACTATAGTTTTTTAATTTCCTTATAAGCAGAAATCAAGACTTCTTTATGTCCAAATTGCTGATTTGAAAGAATCCAACCCAACGAGTCCGCCGCCAACGATGCCAGAACCATACAGTGATACAGACTACGCAGTCATTACATCCACAAACTACCGTCCAAACTAGGCTAGCGGACATGATGTTGGTTGTCATTTTATAGAGAGCACTAGGGATTGTGCAATAAGGATTGCGGGAGGGTGCAAAAAAAAAAAAAAATCGAAAATATAACTGGAAACCAAGGTATAGAATAGGACACTAACTAGGAATTTATTCAAAAAGCCAGGAAGTGTCTGAATTTCCAATCTCCATTTAGTTCCCCTCCCCCCTCCCCTCCTCCAGCGTCCTCACTAACGGCACTGCTGACTTTGATTAAAACTGATTAAGATTGTTCATACAATATTTAAATATCATGCAAAATAGAAATGGAAATTAAAGGTATGGAACATCTTACGTGAAAGTTCAAGTGTTTTTTATTTCCAAAGAACCACACCAGAATAGCCTGCGTAGCGGCCCTAAGGAGATTGGGGAGGGCCGCACGGCCGGCCCTCCCCAATCCCCTTAGGGCCGCTACGCAGGCTACACCAGAAGCGCTGACTAGCTTTGATTGGTGGATTCTAACGTCATAGTACAGTGTGGCTACAAACGACGATTTCTTGACGCAAATCATAATAAAATTTAATACTAGCGGTTCATAACCTGACCCGAAATTAGAACCYATTAAAATATCAGTTTTCGGCCGCATAATGACAAAAAAATTTCTATGAACTCGATTAGATAAGATTTTTTACTGATTTTATGATTTTGA